ATGTCAGGATCTCCCCCTGCTGGTGTACTGGTCTCTGCTGTGCTGATGCAGGGGAACAGCAAGACACCAGCTGTCAGGACTGGTTGTTTCAAGCTGCTGTCTGAATTTATAGAGACAACACTCTCTCACCCAACCCACATACTTTCCCAACACATACACTGTGTGTCTCACGTACATGCTCCCCCAACACATACACACACCTTTGTAGACATCTTGCGTTAGTGTTTAACAATGTCAGTTTAGTCATATTACTGATTGCAAACCCTTCCCAAAGAAGCCTGCAGCCTGTTGCATACTCATACTAGGATAGATACCCAAAGTGTACTGTAGTGATAGAAATGTAGCCGTGTTAGTCTGGGGTAGTTGAAGCAAAATGCAGGACAATGTAGCACTTTAAAGACTAACAAGATGGTTTATTAGATGATGCTCGGGGGTCGCGTAACTAGTTAGCATGCCAGAGTCTCTTGCGGAAATTCAAGTGGCCTGTGTAGATAGCTGGCAAGTTTTTCCGCAAAAGCAGCTGCTTTTGCGGAAAAAACTTGCCAGTCTAGATGTAGCCCATGTGTGGCTATAACATGTATCAAAAATCTAACTTCATTCAGCAAGACCTTAGGAACAATCTTTTCATTGAGTGTTTTGATATTATTGGCCGTTCTTATGGGACTTTTAGTCCTTATTATCGTTTTTTAGAAATGCCGTGGTTAACTATACCTTTGTGATGAACAAAATATTTAGACAAAGAATTATTTCTTTCTTGTTTAATTTGGCTATTTTGGATTTTGAAGTCGGTAAATTATATTAGCATAATGAAATAATGTATTATTTATAATGTCAATGTTAAATATATCTTTAAGGCAAATAAAAAGGTTTATGTCATTAAGCTGTTTCTCATCTTAAAAAAAATTACCAAACATATAATATACTTAGCAGACTAATGAGCAGGAAATTGAATGCTGCAATTCAGAGGGATATAAGTTAATTAATGATTTATTAGATCACAACATGCAATATTTTTATTGTGAAAAAAAGCAACAACTGTAGTAGTATATATATTAAAATCAACTCAGTTTAAAAGTTGTTGTTTGATGCTAGTTTTGTTCATGAATTGAATCATATATCTTTAACATTTGGAATTTCACTTATCCCCTATGGATTGTCACAGAGATTAACTAGTCAACATTGAAAATATCGTAGGACATCTACCATCTTGTTTTTTCTATTTTAAAATTGGTACCAGACTGAAAATACGTGAATAATACTTATAACAGACCAAGGTATTGCAATGCATGTTTATAATTATTTCTTCTGGAATAACAAAACGTTTCATGCTTTTTAGAGGACATAAAGTTGGTGATAGGAATTAATTTTTACAAAACTAATTTTGGATGACACTGGGGAGGTTGTGAAATCTCCATCAGTGGAAAATTTTAAGAGCAGGTTAGACCAACACCTATCAGGGATGGTCTACATAACAACATACACTTTGACTCTCACTGAAGTCAAAGAGAGTTATTTTCCTTTACTGAGTGCATGTAATCACATCTTTCTCCAGTTCAGGGATTGGCAATGTATGGCACG